TCACTTCATTGTATATTGACATTCAGTATTTCCAGACACCTGACTACTATAGAAATCCAAATGAATCTCTCCACTTTTATCATGACCAGTGTGCATTGGTCATAACTATTGTTTTATTTATTTACATCATACACAGTGTTATAACACTGTAACAGTAAAACAGATCTCAAAGACAAATACTGGAATTGTCTGCAAATATGTTAATGCACTTTGTCAAGCTAGCTTTTAGAAAGGAAGTCATAGCAGGGCACACACTGTTCTGTTTTTCTGACATTCCTGTTTCCTTTTGAGTTAAGGGAAAAGTATCTGATTTACTTACCAGTCAATAAATCAAAATGTTCACCAATAAATCTTAGCATATTAAATATAAAATGTTCTTTATCTGCTGTACTAGTTGCTTATTTTGTTACATTGTTAATATCTTCCTCTTCCAAATGAGAAGAGTGATTTTCATTCTTTTTTTACTGTACAAAATTTTATCCTCATCAGAATTTCTAAAATATTCAGGGCATTTACTTATGCAACAACTTCCACCTATTTCACAAAGTATTACTACATTACTGAAGGAACTATATATTTTTTTAATATAGATACATGTAAAAAACGTAGTAACAGCAACTTCAAAAGAGGAAGAGATTTACAGCAAAATACATTTTACATCTAGATATATTTCTAATTGGTAGAAATGTAAATAAGACATGATCCAGATACTGAAGTTAATAAGACATTTGACTGAAAAAAAAGCAAGGTACAAGAGAACAAATAACTTGCACAAGATTTGACAGCAGGCACAGAAATTGTCTCCTGTCATGTTAGGGCTCATATTTCTAAGTAATTCACCATTCTCAGAGATAACTCTCATTTTCTTAGGCTCCGGGATTTTTCGAGGATAGTTAGTTACTTGGAATGTTAATGGTAGAGAGAAGGTTTGGTAGAAATCTTTGCAGTTATAAACCCACCTATTTGCTCTGTAAAAAGATCTCACACCTATTTTAAAAATCATGGAAATAAAGGCATATTATAAGTATTTTAGCATAGTAAAAATAATGGCATAAACTACAGAATCTTCCCACAATTACGGGATGCATGTAAACTCAAAACCAACATCGTAAATCCACAGTAATATTTTTTTTAATCTGCTTTTGAAACTGTTACACATACTTTCGTGCTTACATGTATTTTTTAAATAGTCACAAACTTTTGCAAGCCAACAAGCTAAACTTCCAGAACAGTATCATGGCTTCACATGATTTTCTTTTCTTCCATAGGGATTTATAATCTGACTTCAATAAATACAAATAAAATTTTAATTTTAATACTACTTTTGGTGAATTAAAAGGCTTTTTATATATTTTTATATCAGAAAAAAAATATGCATAACAATACGAGGGCACTGGATAAGGAAGTCACTGTTCATAAACCTTCATGGATTGGCTTCAACTAACTTCATGCTACCTAAAGTTTCCACTTTTCAGATATGATTACTTAATTCTGCCCAGAATCACACCTTCAAACTGTCAGGTCCCCTAAAATAAACTATAAAACACAACATCTGGAAATTTAATCCAAGCATTTTTGGAAGTAGTGCAACAGGAAAAAGATAACAGAAAAAGGACAAAGTCTAGAGTTTTACAATTGAACATAGAGTGTGATATGAAGAATTTATTGTAGCTGGACTAGATTTATTTTTCTTATTTTCACAAATGTCACATCTTAGCTCAACCACAAGTACTCCTATAGTCATGTTCCTACCATTCATGATGCATGCTTGCACAACAGAGAAGCTATAGAAATTACAAGGATTACAACAGAATCACTCATAGAGAATCACTCCTCTTCCCATTAATTGCCCATTAATCTTAGTCCCATTCTATCAAAATGGCTAAATACCCACTAGATACCTACGAAATTCCCAACTACATTACTCCAGTATGTTTCAGCTACCATTTCATTGTGGCTATCTCCAGTTCCAAATTACTGCTGTCATTCAATTTCTAATATTGTACAAACACAGCTAAATGAAGACATGAAAAGCCTTTACGACAAAAAAAAATACAAATCATTTCTATTCCTGTGAAAATACATACATTTATGTGTGCAGATGAAGAAACTAGATGTACTTCATGTCAGAAGTCAAAGACTTTGCTCCGTCAGGTTCAAAACAGAGACAATGAAATTGAAATCAGTAATGCCGTACCTTAAGAACAACACCATTTCTGATTTTGTTTCTCTTAGAAAATTGCATCAGAGTGAAAGAGAAACTGCTTACCCAAAACATGATATCTATGAATATTATGGTTATTGAATGATTTACATTTCTTGTGCTGATGACCTTTGGAGACTGCCTGGAAAAGCAGTGCCTGTTGGGACAATGTGAGCATCCCCTGATGACAGTGGATGAACAAAAATGTGATGCAAAATGGCTTCTCTTTTCCTTTTTTTCATTTTTGCTTAACGTCACATGGCATGCAGATGTCCATGGGAGAGAGGGAAGTGGTAACAGCGAGTGATCTGGCATAGAAACCACCTCCAAATTTCTATATCTATTATCTTTGTGCTTGTGGGCATAAGAAAACAGAATATAGGTTTTCACAAATACCATATCCTAGTTAGATCTCTGTCCAGAAGAAGCTTTACACCCATACATGCTGTATGAAGATGGTATCAACCATTTATCAAACAAGCAGCAGAATACGTATGCCAGGAGCTGTCACATACCCCTTGCAGTGAGGCTGGGTACCAAGGACAAGCATTGGGGCCTCCAGATTACAGTGTTTCCACAGCAGCAGGGTGACCTCAGAAAGTGACTGAAGCCAAGCACAAATGTTTAGGGGCAAAAAGGCATATGTTTCCCTCGCTATAGTGCATTTTGGGCTGGACAGTGGTATATCTGTCACTCTGCAGGAATGGAAGAACATCTTAATGGAAGAACATCTTAATGGAAGAACATCTTAAGGGCAGAAAAAATGAAGTGCCTTATAGAGTCTCATAGACAAGCTCTTTGCCAAGGATCTGGGAGGATTTCACTAGGCCCATGACTGCTGGAGAACAGGATATTCTGGGAGGAATGTAAACTCCAGGAAGCAAAAATAAAATACACTGATTCAAGTCTATCTCTTTTATTCTCTCTCTCCCATCTTGTGGAGTTCTCTGGCTTTAAAAACATACATGGAGAATTAAAGGCTGTTTCAGTCCAGAGGTCCAGCTACTCAACAGCACAGAAATTAAGTAAAGGTTCACTGGAAATCTACTCAATCTGAACAATAACATTGTTCACTACTGATAAATGAGACATGAAGAATGCTGGTAAAACTGAACAAATCTAGTGTTCACAGAGTACAACTCTTTGTAAGCAGAATGATTCAAGAGCTAAAAAGCAATTGAGATAGTTGGGAACTACAGAGATCATCTTTGAAAGGCTCTGTCAGCAGGACTCAGGCTCAGCTGCCTAGGCAGCATCGCATTTCTCAGAAGCCCCTACAGCTCAATCAGCAGCACAAAACGACTTAATTTCACAAGTGGGGATGTGTGGAGATCACTTCAGAGAAGAATGATGGGCTGTTTTCCTCATAAGTGCAAAAATAATTTATTTTAAAAATCAATTTATTTAAAAAGCACAGAAGTTAGCTGGAGTACAATCCTGTCTTTTATGAAAAAATGTAATGAAGTGTCATGGCAGAACAGGTAACAGTCACAGAGAAAAGTATTTTTCACAAGTGGGAAGATTCTGTCAAGAAGAAATGCTGTTCTAATTTTCTTAAGTTTGGTTATGCAAAGCCATGGGCCAGTTTTTTTTAAAAAGTGAATGCTGCAAACAGCTAGAAGTAAGATCAGAACCTTCATGAGAAACAAAAAATACAAAAGAAATTATGAAGAAAAAGATAGGAAAACACTGTGTGAGAGAAACAGTCTAATGATGAGAACTCAGATCAGAGGGTAGGCAGAAACTTATTAAAGCTATAACAAAAATGTGAAAATAAAAGGCAGCTAACACATGCTATCTTGCACATGGAGATGAAAGAGAAAACTTAGCAGGGGGGGGGAAAAAGAAGGAAAAAAATATCCTAAAATCATATTAAAATTAGCTAAGACCAAAGCGTCAGTCAGTTACTGAAGAACTGAGAGCAACGACAAGAAGTGGAAGGGCAAAGGGAGAGCAAAGACTGGAAGATTAGCAAAGGAAGCAACAGCAAGTCTTTTTCCCTATTTCACTTTTGTGTTCCCTACTGTACATTTCACAGACTCTACAAACAGCTGCCACACTTCAGCCACAGGATCAGTTAACCAACACCGCTCAAATACATGCAAGTTTAAACACGTTTTCACACCACAAAGGTGAGGGAAAAGACTACAATGGCATCTAGGTTTATAAAGCATCAAGATAACATGAGGCAGAGTTGTTATAACAATTAGTTTTATTGTTTTGACAGCAATAACTTCCTTCTCCAACAAACATGTTCCTTACTTCTGATAACCCAAAACACAACAGCACTTACCAGTACCTTTTAGCAGACGTATATAGCCCCACAGAGCTATGTGTGAGCTTTTCAGAAAATAGCCTGTTGGACCTACTCTGAGTCACATAGTATGGACTAAATGCACAAAACAGGAGCCTTTCATGGTAAAAGAAAGAACTGAGTAAACTAGTGTTGACTCAACCATAATAAGGAGATGTTTTGGCTTTTATTTGAAAACGTTATACTCAAAACCCTGCTGGGGTGATCACAGCATACACAACCATCAAGTACCTCAGGCCACAGATCTTTTCAAACAATAGATAAGGCAGTAACCAGAAAGAAAAAATATTACATGGCTGTTCATATCATATCCTATTGACTGTTGGTTTTAACTAAATTTACAAAGCCAGCAAATACACATATCAGACAGAAAAATTACTCTTCTAAGAGGCCATCATTTTCTTGCAGTAATGGGAAGCCAGGTGCAGAGATTTATTGTATATTTGAATATGCTTTGAGGTAACGTAGTCCCATGCTACTCACCTTGATCTCTTTCATGCCATGTCCGACTCCCCGCAGCTGGTGAATTTGGAGAAGGATAAAAGTCTCCTGTTGGGCTTGGCTCCATATTTTCATCTATGGAGATAGTTTTGGGTCTTTTGCTGTTGAAGCAATGTGAGATTTGGCAGTGAATATGATTTACAGCTACTAGTGGTATATAAACTGTTTGGATTTCAGCAATATTTCAGTATAAAGTAATTCAGCCATACAAAGCACACGGTATTTAATAATATGTAATAGGTATGTTCTTGCATTTTTCATGATTTAATATTTCAGAGATGCTATGAATGGGTAACATATAAAAGTCTACCAGCATTTGGTCAAACAACAAAAAAAGCAGTTTTTGTCATCTACCAGAGAAAGGTTGTGTAACAAGACTGTTGAACATTATGCAGAAGTCATGAAAGCAAAACAAAGCACTGGAAAATTACTACTATTAAAATCAATGTAAAACAGGAACTTTTCTGAATGTGTTAATAAGGAAAAAATGTAGTTTACTGTAATTCACCAGGTCAAAATCCTAAGCTTTTAAAAGAAGTCTAACCTGAAACAAAGACTTTTCATTTTAGACTAGTTTAATTAAAAACAACAAAAGGCCCATATTTCAAGTCACACTGCATAAAATGAGGCAGCACTTCAATGCAGTGGAGGGAAATCTGATTTCTTCATAACAATATATACTGAAGTTGTTATACTGACTGCCAAAGAAAACCAAGGTGAAGGTTTTAATCATGGTGGGTGGTATTATTATTATTATTATTAT